ATAATAAGATGTGGTATGATTGCCAAGTAGACAACTCTCCACCAGAGACCAAATGACATAGAAGTAAACAACTATAGGTCACCGTACGGCCTTCAGCAGTGAGCAAAACCCAGACCGCATGGACAGCTATAAAAGTCCCCGAAATGACAAATGCGAAATATTCAAAAGCATGCAGCTGCTTCTCAGACTTTGTAAAATGTCAACCGCGTCGGAGCAAAAAATTAATCAGCCAGGATTTAAATTTGACTATCATGAACGTCTCCTTCTTTTTCTCAAAAAGTACCAAGACCTAATAGATAAATATTCTGTCTCCAAAAAATTCTTACGACTTAAATTGATCGTAAGTTATACTGAAAAGTGCATTTTTACTCTGAAGATTTCGGGTTTTTGGCTTCGGGCGTTCTCGATGCGAGTTGGCCCAGAGGCGCGATTCGGACGAACGAGGTTTTTATAGTATTGTTTTTCATTTTGTATACATTGGTATTTATTTTTTACTTAATTTGTACTTTATCGAGAAAATGTATATGTCATGCTTTACTATTCTGTATGTAATAGTGTCAACTACAAGGTTTTTTTTTTTCGTGACGTATATTTACACAATTTTGGCTGCTGGATCCCAATTTTATTGTCACATTAGCGTATTATATAATAATATGGAGATGTGGTATGATTGCCAATGAGACAACTAAACACACAAGTTCAAATGAAGTGGATGTAAGTAATTAAAGACAACCACACGGCCTTCAACAATGAGAAAAACCCATAACGTATAGTCGGCTATAAAAGGCCCCGACATGAAAAATATGAAACAATTCAATTGAGAAAACTGACGACCTAATTTATAACAAAACAATCTAAGATAATTTTAAACAAATATGACAGACATTAACCAACGACAACCACTGAATTACAGTCTCATGCCTTCGGACAGGCAAATAAAGAATTTGGCGGGGTTAAACTAGTTTGCTGGCACAAAACCCTCCACTAACCTGGGACAGTGGTGTAACAGTAAAATATAAGAACAAACTATAAAAATCAGTTGAAAAGGGCTTAACTCATCAGATTAACACAAAGTCGAAAAACAGACCGGACGTGGCAGGGTATTTATACATACCAACAACAACAAAAAAACACTTTAAGTACAGATCTTGAAGTACTCACAATTACTGCCAGCTAATAACAACTTATAAAAAAATCATGCATCTAAGACAAAAATGTTTTTTGGGTTGCTCACCAAATTTTGTCAATAAACAACAATGTAATGAAACTATAAACTAAATATGGACGATACTGCATGAGTATAGTTCCACATACTTAAGATTTGACAAACAGTGATGTTGAAGTACAACTTGAAATTGTTGCGTTGTCTGTAAGACACAAATTATCCCCCCGCCTGACCATAAGAAATCATAAATTTAACAATATGTATGATGATCTATCATTTATTTTTATTCTTAGAAATGTCTACACTTGCAGGACTGAATGTCCAGCCAAAAGGGTTCAAATTTCCAGTTTTAGTAGTCACCAAGTTCAACTTCTCGGTATTGATTAAATATTTGACAATACTAAAAAATCTTATTGATTGTATTAGGTACATTAAACTGTAGAAGTACAAACCATGTAATTGTTTTCAATTATATAGCAAGTGAGAAGGAAATGAAGTCCGACTACAGGTTTTTGTGAATATCTAACATCCCCCCTTTCTGATTTTAAGTCCAAATACCTGGCATTTTTTTAATATTTGAAAATAAATGTGGATAGTGTCCACATGTGGACACAGATGATGAGTTTTTGTCCGAAAACTGGAAAATCACCCCTTTTTTTATGAATAAAACCCTGTAACTCGAAAACGTAAAATCTTACATTTATAAAAATCGAAAGGGAGCTCATGTCAATAGATATAAACAATTCACCACAGTTTCTTGCAAGTTGGTGAAAGCATTCTTGACTTATTGTCCGAAAACTGGAAAATCCCCCTTTTTTTAATGAATAAAACCCCATAACTCGGAAACGTAAAATCTAAATTTTATAAAAAACGAAAGGGAGCTCACGTCAATAGATATAAACAATTCACCAAAGTTTTATGCAAATTGGTTAAAGCATTTTTGAGTTAATGTCCGACATGTTGACGACGGACAACGGTATACCATAATACGTCCCATAAACGGGCGTATAAAAATTACTAGATATTTATAAGAAAATAAGTTTTGCAATTTTTCCATTTATAAAGGGGCATAACTCTAGAACGGTTAAAGTGACGCCACCGAAATTCAAACTTGATCCGTGTTTTGTGGTAATAAGCATTGTGTATAAATTTCATAACATTTGGTTGAGGCAAACTTAAGTTAAAGAACGGACACTAAAAATTTTGCAATTTTTCCATTTATAAAGGGCATAACTCTAGAACGTTTAAAGTGACGCCACCAAAAATTCAAACTTGATCTGTGTTTTGTGGTAATAAGCATTGTGTATAAGTTTCACAAAATTTGGTTGAGGCAAACTTAAGTTAGAAAACGGAAACTAAAAATTTTGCAATTTTTCCATTTATAAAGGGCATAACTCTAGAACGGTTAAAGTGACGCCACCAAAATTCAAACTTGATCTGTGTTTTGTGGTAATAAGCATTGTGTATAAGTTTCATAACATTTGGTTGAGGCAAACTCAAGTTAGAGAACGGAAACCAATTTTGGGACGTACATACGTACAGACGGACAAGGGTAAAACTTAATGCCCCCACCGCCACGACGGGGGCATAAAAATCAAAATCCTGTGGACATGCACACTTCCATTCCAAACAACCTACAAAATATTAAAGCTGTAGCTCAAAAACTGTAGGAGATAGCCGGACAAAACATGATCTCTTTATGCGTTTAGTACCAAAAAATGACTCCAGTCCAAATACCTGGCATTTTGAGAATGTTTTTTAAAAATCAAAACCCTGCGGACATGCACACCTCTATTATGTTTCTATGTGTAGAAACATCCTACAAAATATTAAAGCTGTTGCTCAAAAACTGTAGGAGATAGCCGGAGATATCATGTATCTATATCTTAACACCTGATTTCATCCTTGTTTTTTTTGTGGGCAAGTGTTGCATTCTTTAGTTTCTCTTTGTTTTGTTGTCATAGTTTGTTTTTTTTTTGCCATTGTGGTGTTTTTTGTCGATCTTTTCATTGCCCTTGTTGTCTATTCTTTTCAGATTTGCACCGCAAATTGAAAATACTATCCAGGAGAGGTAGCTTTGTTAAACATCAGATGAAGTGCACAAAAGATATCAAAAAACATTAAGTTCAACGGCTTTCATGTTTTAGTACTTCATAATTGCTCCAAGTAACTGCAAGTTCTTTCTAGAGCATTGGAGTTTTATCCCTGTATTTTTAAAGGTTTTGCTACTCGGTCTTTTTTATTAGACTTTTCTTTCTTAGACAAGACATTACCAAGTTGTAAAACTTGTGTCTCATCCATTTGTCATTTTGAACAACAAAATGCATTCAACTTCAGCATTTTAATATGTCTTTTGGTTATTTTATGTCATTGGGTTACTATATATTTGACATACACCCCAGATGTCCCTTTTTCATACATGATGTTAGGTCAACATTTCCTTTCATTTATCATTTCATCATTAATCCTCACTTATCAATTGAACTCTGAAATAAGTACAATGCAACACTTTTGAATCAGGTACAATGCAACATTTTTGTCTATTATATGGTGCTTTGCTTTTAGAATTCGAAGAAGTGTGGTTCTTTACCGGAATTCCAGCTTCCTTCACTAACTAGCCACCACGATAAACCCAAGAGTGCCAACAGCGATCGCTTGTTTTTAACTTCTACTTTATTTGGTCTCTGGTGGAGAGTTCTCATTGGCAATCATACCACATCTTATTTTTATACCAATAATTAAATCAATCCAGAATTCAAAAAGTAACAAAATTGATAAAATATTTGAACAAAAAGTAAAAGACAAACTGTTACTGTACAAGTTTTCTTATACAAATCTAGAAATATGATTAACTTGTCTAATAAGCAAAATCCAGTAATGGGGTAATAGCTGTTGATGGCAACAATATTCAAGCCAATTTTAAAATGGCAACTGACCTGTGGATTATCAATTAAATCCAACCACTTTTCTGAACTTTTTGAGTGATATTTTGTTCTGGTCTTGAATAGGCATTCAATAATTAAAAGTGAAAGTATATTAAACCACCACACAATTTCATAACCTGGTTGAAGATTTAATTATATTAAGACTTCACTTTTAGCTGCTGTCATGACAAGATTGAGTTTCTTTAACCTATAAACTAACCAACTGATGTACTCAATCATCAATTCAAACGCTTGGTGATCAATACTCTGTTTCTGAATCTAAGTAAGTCTGGCTTGAAGATGATCTACAGATAAGGATAACACTCAATAAATTTTGTGGGTCTGAAGATCTTCTCTTGATATATCTTCATCTATAACACTCAAAAGATCAACATTAAAAAGCCAGGAATAAAATTCTTAGAAATAACATACTACACAACAAAAAGGGACCTAAAATGAATAGCCAAATTCATACAAGATCAACATTTCCTGAAGGAATTTGAACCTTAGATTCTTAATAATTTCTTGATTTAATCATCGCTGGTGAATTTTTATAAAAGTGTGCTATAAAATCATATATATTTCACTTTTAATCATATTTGCTATTCTAACTCGTGGATAAACAGGATAACAGTAGTGAATGAAAAACCAACATCAAATCAAGACAAATACTTATTACTGTGGAATAATTATTATTCGTGGGGTGCCAATTTTTGTGGATTTCATAGATTTAGGTAAACAACTAATTTAAATCTTCAATGACATAAACAATTTCTATAGGCTTGTATGTAGTCTTCAGTAAAACCAAGACATCTAATATCCACGAAAATACAATTTTCCCTCAATCCTCCAAAATTGGTACACAAGAAAATAAATCAACAGGAGATGGTTTAAAAATATCAAATGACAAATAAGTGTTTTGGAATATTATGTTGACAACACATATACTTTGCTACATCTGACATAAAACTGTGTTATTGTCTCCCCTTGTGCTTGTTGTTTCTAGGAAGGGAATTTCCATTACATATACATAGATAAAACTTTTTTTTTTTTCTTTTTCTTTATTACAGAGTTTATTCACTGTCCACATTTAATGTGTGTGTTCCTACAAAGAAAAAAAAATAAATTAGTAAACAAAGCAAATTACTCCAAACATTGAACATTAGTTTACTATTATAACCATGATAACGGGGATACTTTGTTCAAGTGTTTTGTTTTCTTTGGATAATTTTCATTACTATGCTTGTTTGTTTATCTTTCAAAACTTTTTCACTATAATTATGGATTCATATTTACAGTACTTAAAATTTCCAGAAATCAGTGCTAACAAAAATTCTGAACTTTCTAGTTTATTAATGTAATTTTCTTCACACTGACGCTTGTACGATTAAATCACAGATATTAATTACCTTGGAAAATGTGAAGTGCAACTCAAAACAAGTTAAAAATTCTCTCTCTCTCTCAAAAAAAAGAGTTGTGTTTACAATATCTTCCATAACAAAATAAACTGATTTTTGTTGATAATATTAAACTTTTAAAGATGAACAGGAATGACTTCAGATACATTTTTAGGGAAAAAAAAACATAATTCATAAAAACTTATGACATTGTCTGCACTTAAAAAGATATACCAATCAGTTCACACCAGGTAATTTAAGATGGATAACTTCCAATATATTCGGTCTATTTTAAACTGCCGTTTTTTTTTTTAAATTTTCGACTGAACAAAAAAAAAAGGCTGTGTCTTGTTCCGATCCAGCAATGTTGACAAATATTTGTTCATATGTTTCAGTTTTGTTGTTTAAAAGCATAACAATGTCAAGGTAACTTTTTCCCGCCTTCGATTTTTAATCCCTGAATGGAAAGATAACAATGATTTAAAGTGCTTTGCTCCCCTATTGTTTAGATCCCCCAAAATGGCAAACTCAGCACCAAGTTAAATACCAGTTGTCAAGTTAATAGATATTTGTTCTACAAGCAGTCTTTCGCAACACTATTTGATACACAAAAAAAAACTCCTGTCTGCCAGGCATTGAAAATCTTCCAATATTAGGGGAATCCAAACAAGAGATTTTATCTACAATAACCAGCAATCACCTTGTCCAACAGTGAGTCACTCAATACAGTAAAAAGTAACTTTTAAATTAATCAACTTGTCTGTACTGTAAATAATGAAGGAAACCACACGATACATACCTTTAAATGATGCACAAGGTACAAATGTGACGAGTGTGTACAGTCTGTGAACTGAATCTTCATCATCGTTTCTTTTTCTAGCCAGACGTACTCTTACTCTGAAGGGTACGCTCCTGAAAAGCAAAAATCAACAGTAGTTATTTGTCTCGATGAAATGTTTCCACTTGATCACATATCTGTCAGGGGTACAAATTTTAGGTATTTTTTATATGAATCTGAAGATGAAGGTACACAATGTAATATGTACTTGTAATGTACAAGAAACAATAGTCAGATCGTTTACATCCCTGGCTTGCAGATTAAGATTATAACACTATGTTGACAGCTGTACTCTATTTTCGAAATTTTTTCCTATTACATTGTATGTCTGTTTGTTTTGTTCACACATTGTTGTCAATGCAGTGGAATTATATGCGACTGCTATACAAGTGAGAGGTTTAGCTACTCTAAAACTAGCTTTAATCAACCATTTTGTACATAAGGAAATGCATATGACAGTTGTTTTCCATTCATTTGATGTGTTTGAGCTTTTGGTTTTGCCATTTGATCAGGGACTTTCTGTTTTGAATTTTCCTTGGAGTTCAGAATTTTTGTTATTTTACTTTTTGCAAAATCATTCTCTTGTGTTTTACCGCATCAAGTACTTTAAACAAGAGTGTACACGCTGAAATGTGTCGCCTTCTTTACTAATCATTGATATTATGTTGATAGTTCTAAATATAAAGCTTAACTACAACTATCAAATAAACTTAACATGATCTAAGAAAATGAGGTCAAGGTCATATAAACCAAACAAGAAATACATGTACACCTTACAATCATTCAATACACTAAATATAGTTGACCTATTGCTTATAGTTTCTAAGATACAGACTTAACCAAGAAAACTAAACATTGATTAATGAACCATGAAAATGTGGTCAAGGTCAGATGAACCATGCCAGGCAGACATGTACAGCTTGCAATCCTTCCATACAACAAATATAGTTGACCTATTGCTTATAGTAATAGAAAAACAGACCAAAACACAAAAACTTAACACTGAGCTATGAACTGTGAACATGAGGTCAAGGTCAAATAAAACCAGCCAGACTGACATGTACATCATAAAATATTTCCATACACCAAATATAGCTGACCTATTGCATATAGCATTAGAAAAAAAGACCAAAACTCAAAAATTTATAATTGACCAATGAACCATGAAAATGAGGTCAAGGTCAGAAGACACCTGCCAGCTAGACATGTACACCTTACAATCATTCCATACACAAAATATAGTAGACCTATTGCATACAGTATAAGAAAAACAGACCAAAACACAAAAACTTAACTATAACCCCTGACCCATGAAAATGAGGTCAAGGTCAGATGACACCTGCCAGTTGGACATGTACACCTTACAGTCCTTCCAAACACCCAATATGCTAGACCTATTGCTTCTAGTATCTGAGATATGGACTTGACCACCAAAACTTAACCTGGTTCACTGATCCATGAAATGAGGTCGAGGTCAAGTGAAAACTGTCTGACGGGCATGAGGACCTTGCAAGGTACGCACATACCAAATATAATTATCCTATTACACGTTATAAGAGAGAAATTAACATTAAAAAAATCTTAACTTTTTTTTCAAGTAGTCGCTGAACCATGAAAATGAGGTCATGGCCGATGCAGACGGAAACTTTGTAACATAAGGCATCTATCAGTCAGGGGTACTACTTAAACAAGTGATTTCATTATCACCTATTTCAGTGATTTGATAAATTCAGTAATCACCTATATAAGTGATTTTGGTGTTTCCTTTGATCTTCAAATGCTAATTTCATTGATTTTCCATATTTTGACAAACTTCTCTATAATTTTCCTACATAAATCAATTATCCCTTTTTCTTTGTATATCAATTTCACCAGTGGCTTGGGCAGTAAGTTAGTGCGCTAAAGCTTTTAAAAGTACCCTTGGGAATTTTTCTGTAATCAAATATTCTTACTATCAGAAAAGGTCAACAATATTGGGTAACCTGATTGGTTTTCTTTAGAGTTAGAATGATCTACTTCAAGGTTATGTCCTGATCTACAAATTATTCCAGTTTTTGCATATTTTAAATAAACTGTAGAAACTGACATGCTTATCAAGCAAAAGACAATTTCTACATGTACATAGTTGTTTTTTCAATGGAATGCTTGTCTTTTTACCAATAAAAAAATCAAACTTGTGGGAAAAATATCAAGAAAATGTTATAAGCACTTATTGAAGTGATTACATTTTAACTTCTCAAATTACTTGTTTCAGTGATTTTAAAAAGTCTGTGTCTATTTTTGTGAAAATTTTTAATATTTCACAGCCAAAATCACTTGAAGAAGTGATTCTGAAGTCACTTATTTAAGTAGTACCCCTGACTGTCTATATACAAAGTATGAAGCATCCAAGTCTTCCACCTTCTAAAATACAAAGCTTTTAAGAAGTTAGCTAACGCCGCCGCCTGATCACTATCCCTATGTGGAGCTTTCTGCGACAAAAGTCGCAGGCTCGACAAAAATAAAGAATAGATATGAGTGAAAATGAAAGTCAATTTCCAGAAAGAATATTGAATTGATAATGGCAAAAAGAAAAATATGTGTGTGCTATTTGTCTCCTGCTGAACAAAAAAATGATTGGTACCATGTAGATCAGCAAATTTTTTTTTTATCAGTAAAACAAGAGATAACTCCATTTGCTATTGCATTTATATACGGTATAGTATTCCAGTTTACGTGGTTTACAGCCATTTGTTTTATTATATTACATATGTTTTTCTCCATTTTACACAATACTTAATATTGATTTTTGGCATTAAGGTAGTGGTTGAACAAAAAGAACATCTGTGTCAAAAACAAAATTGATGAAAATATAATTTGCCAAATGTTCAGTGATAACATAAATACACATCATTTTTTTTAGGGGGGGGGGGGGGGTGGCTTAAGTACGTTTTTGAATGCTGTTCACTGATAGAAATTATCTTCTATTTTAGTATTTATAATGATAGAAATTTGTGTAAGGGCTATTCCAGAAAAATTATTCTTGATGTTGAAAGGCACTTGAATTATTTTTGCATGAGTGGGGACAGGTCATGAAGTTCAAATTGTGTGGTTATGTATGCAAAGTATAATGCAATTGTATGGGTGATGGCCATAAAAAAAGTGCCATACAATTGTTTTTTTCTGGAATAGCCCTAAAAAGGACTAGTTCAGTATATGAACAAGACATGGAATTAGAATATCCAGTCAGAAAATCATTTGTCGAAAAAATAAATGTCTAAATTTAAAGCAATCCCATTATTCATACATATAAATTTCACACCATGTGATATAGCATATTTAAAGTATCACATGATTTTCTTGACTGTTCGAAATGACTGTTATTACATGTATTAAGAGTCAGAACAACAATTTGGTAATAAAAACAGGTGACGGCTTAAACAAGCTAAATAATAAAGAGAATTTGTTTGGTTGGGTTTCTAAATGATCTTTCTATGAAGGTGGCTGTTTTGACTGGTTCTCATCTTTCTGGAAACCAAAAGAGTGCCACACAGTCAAAAGGAAAGGTATGTTCTTTTATAACCCTTTCTTCAGGGTTGTGTATAAAGATATGTAGGATAGCACAACATTAGTTTTCTTTTGGCCTAATCAATATTAATAAACTTTGTACACTTTGCAATTAAAACAAGAGTTGGCATATGCATACCTTACTCCCTTAGACCACAAGTGCTTGTTCAGTCTTGTATCAATTCTTATATCAGGGGTACCCATCATCTTTTCTGCAAATTGTCTGACAGCTTTGATGGCTCTTGGGGCCCTCTTTTTAAATCCACTGAAAATAAATAATTAAATATACATCTTCAAAAGAAATTTAATCTTTTAATAATATTTTGCTATAACAGTCCTCTAACACCTCTTGAGATACCATAAGCTAGATAACAATTGCCTGTAAATGAAATTCTTATAAATCAAATGTTAAAACAGGCCTGGAGCATATGGAACCTGTGCTAAATGGTAATAACTGGCACACAAGCATTAATTTTTTACCAAAGAATACACTTTATTTTTAGATTTTGAGTGAATTTCTCAGATTTTATTTGAAATGCATTAACAAGGATATTAATCAGGGGTTAAAAAATTGTGTTACAGCTCACTAGCCCAGGACTTGTTGGTAGCAGGATTTTACTAGCCCTGTTAGTAGAACTGCTAGCCAATCAAAACTGGCCTGCTAGCCCGAGTATGCCTTACAAATTCAGAATTTGTTGCATAATACAAAGTAGGTGTCCTTTGTTTTGAAGGCGGCAATATACACTGTATCTAATAAAATAAATTAAATAAATTTTTGTTTTATTAATTATAACAAGGATCTCTAGACATCTTTTGGGATTTCCCTTGTACTATGGGTTGTTAAATATTTTTGGGCACAGAAAACGTGTTCATTGGTCTTGTCATGTGATACCAGTGATTCAATTCCCATATTTGTTGTTCCCACATACAAAGCAGTTTTTTTATCAGCGTGATCAGGAAAATAACGGCAATATTCACAAAACATAATCTCTTGTTTATCATCAGTAACAGCCGACCTTGCCCATGGGGAATCTTTCTGTCCATGACACTATAAATGTTTTTTTCCTCTCTTCCTGGTCGTATTTGGCATTTTTTGGGATGAATTTTCAGCCTCATTACCCCCTTCATCTACCGTTTTTCGTTTTGAAACTGACAAAGTTCCTGTGGTGGCCGTACTAAAATATTTAGAAATAATTTGTGCATGGTTTCAAGCTCAACAGCTGTCCGACAAGACAGGTCAATATCGATCATTACATAAAACACCCAAGTACCATTAATTAAAAATCTCGGCATAAGCAATGTACAATACCCCCTGTACTGAGAAATTGATATTGAAAGTACGTGAATTGCGATCAATACATGATACCGGTCCACCCAGAGTAGTTGTTCTATTTCTAAAACATGTACAAAATCGGTTCAAATTCTTGGACTCCCGGATGACGTAATTGAATTTGTTTGGCTAAGATAGAATAGTGATGAGGGGATTTTCCACTTTCTATTTTGGAAATGCCAAGAGTTTTTTGTGACTAGTCCGTCGGACATATTGGGTTACAAGTTTTAATTGCCTGAGGTGTAATAGTCTAGTCCCGGGCCTCGGGCTAGTGGATTTTTTAACCCCTGATTAATCCCTGTGAAAATTTTGATTTTGTTAGTTATTATGTAAATTATGTAGCATGATAAACATTGGCATCATTTGTTTACAATTTTCATGATTTTGGATGTTTTAAGTCAGAAAGTGACAGACTGGGTTTTCCTGTTGTTTCACATTTTGTCATGTCAGGGTTTATTAAAACTGACAATAAGAAATGGGTTTTACTCATTGTTAAAGACCAAATGGAACGATAGTTGTCTCATTGGCAATCATACCATATAACAACTCCTTTTCCATCGTGTTTTAAGTAAATTTATGCTTCATAGAACAGGTTGAAAACCCATTATTTGAGTAAAATCACCTATGAGAATAAAATCTTTACTGAGAATTTAAAAGTAATGAAACTGACTTAACCTTTTTTCCTAAACCTCAGTTTTTTCTTCTTCAGTTTAAGTGATCAGGACTCATAAATGGTTGCATAAGAAAGTGAATAGACATTGCGCATCTCGGTCATATATTTCTACAGAAGACAAACACGTTTCCTAACAACACACCATGCCAGAATCTAATGCATTCTTGGTAATTCAAAAAGCATACACCAAATGTTACGATCGACTAACAATGTCCTAAACAATAGAAATTCAACCTATGGTGCGACATTGTTTTCATTTAGGGGTAGGAACAAAGAGATTACCCATAGTCCTTTAGATTAGGAAACAGCAAATTTTGAATGCCTCTTGACAACTTACATTCCATGGATTCTCTTGTGTATGTTAATGGTGCATTCTTTTGTGATGACTTCGTTTGTCACCTTCTTCTTTTTCTCACCCTTGCCAGCACCTTTTCTGGGAGCCATTTCTACAAAGGATAAATAAATGAAAGTCAACTAATTAATAAAACATGAGCGCACTTGTTGTTAGATTTGTCCTGCTACTGCTAGCCTGGCATACCTACTCATAATTCAAAGTTTCCAAAAACAGAATGTACATTTAGTTGTCCGACAGATCCAAAAAGTGCTGACACACTACAAATCATCACTGTTCAGCTGTTGACCAAACATGGTCTTTTTTTATGTAGTATGGGAGAATATATATGTGATGAAAAGTTCATTACCTTTTTTATCCAACATATTGAAAAAAATATAAAAATTTTGGCAAACAGAAAGTAGGTACATGTATCGGACAGATTAAAAAAGTGCACACACAGTAAAACTGATGCACAATGTTTCTGCCATAAGCGTTGCAACCTCAGACGTTTCAGCCTGTTCCAAGTCAGGAACCTCTATAGCCTTTGTTAGTCACGTGATTTTTTTTAATTTGGTTCATTTGTATGTTTCAGTGTTTATTCCATTTCACTAGCTAGTATACATTATTGATAAGGGGCCTGCTGAAGCCAGTCTCTGGGTGCAGGATTTTCTCTCTGCGTTGGGACACATTGGTGGCCTTGGGCTGTTTTCTGCTCTTTGGTCGGGTTGTTGTCTTGGACATATTCCCCGTTTCCATTCTCTATTCTATTTGTAAAGTTTATTCATTCTAATTTAAGTACATACACCAAACATGATGACTATGTTTTAAGACATTAGTCCAAATAATTATGACGTCTTGAAAGGCTATTTTATTTTTTTGGTTTGATGCGGCGTCAAAACAAAAAAATAAAATAGCCTTTCAAGACGTCATATTTATTTAGACTAAGACAACATAACCCAAGTTGAGATAAAAGAATACAAAAAAAATGTTTTTTTATGTTTTGGGGTATGTGTTACACATTCTTTGATATATTATGTAGTGTTTTGTGAACTTATTGGTCTTTTTGCTGTTATTTTGAATTGGTTTCGTCAGTTTTTCGTGGACCTCTTGGTATCTTCGGTCTCTTTCGTAAAGACCCTAGACCTCATCATTTTTTTCTTGTGTACATATGCTTTCATTAATACATTATATGTTTTACTTGCTTACATCAAAAACAGCAAGTGGTTGAGAACACCATGTATCATTATAATAGTTCACAGGAATCGGAAATTCTATCAATAAAATTCTGTAAATAATAAGTCGACTATCAATAGAGCTTCTCGTAGAAAGGCAAAATTACATCGTTTCACTTCTATCACTGCCATAATTTCTATAACATGGCATGTTTTTGGTTGGCGAAGCTATTTTTTCATATTCATCATTCCCTCAAAGTTAAGGTAATTTGTTCTGTTATATTACATGGATCTTTTCTTGTTTTTAAGTTAGTGTATCTGCCGTCAGTGCCGAGAAGAGATCAGTGAAATGCAGGCTTCGATTGTTTCGGGTTATCAATGTTTACATAATTTGAAACGGTAACAATGAGACTATACTTAGAAAATATGGTTCATGTATTATGTTTTATTCGTAGAAAGTACTTGAATGATGATAAATTTATTCAGATGACAGCAGATTAAAACTTGAAATAAAATATAACCCACTTTCAATGTGTTAATAAACGGAAAAGGAAGTCGAAGATAAGGGACGTAACTGTGGAGGAACAAGCTCGACAAACGATCTAACTACCAAAATATTAACAAACACGGACTTAATTTAATTTGCGTTGTTTCCAAGAATTTGTATAGTAGACTACAAATCATGGTTCGTTTCATATCAAACGAATTGGTATAATAATTTGAAAATATATAAAATACAAAATAGAATAACGGTGAAATTGATAGAGTAAAAAAAAAATGAATAAAAAACCCATAAAAACAGAAATAAATTAATAAGCAAAAAAGATGAAAAAATGAAAATAAAACTTTATATCAATTCATAAGAACACATTAATACACCATGGCATATTAACAAATAATTGACACCATGCATTAAAGCAGGAGAAACATATCGATTAGCTTTTCTTGATTAACCTTCATCAGAAATGTTCCATCCTCAAAAAAGCCGGTGTAAAGCCAAGATCGTATATTTATTCTTATATATACACGAGGATCCATATGACCAAAAGGGATAAAAAATGAAAGTTAAGAGCCTCCATTGGTCAACTGCTAGTTTGTCTAAAGGAGATGGAACCTTCAAGAAGTTACATAACGAAGAACATAAGAAAAGGCGATTAAATCATGCCAATACTGAGGACTTATTACTGAGCTGGCGATAGGCTCGGCGACTATATCAATTTATGAGCGGTGCTGTACTAAACTATCCGTCACAAGGACCGCTCAATTATGTAGATCAGTTGTAATTTATCAAATGAGCGACCTCTTGCCTATGTCAGTTAATATTCGGAGTATTTAAAAAAAATGTTCCCATAGAAGACTATGACAGTTGATATGATCGTTTCTTGATTTACGTCCATGCTGTGGAAAACATTTCATGCATACACTGGACAAGAATAAATTCACGATTAATACAAATTGTATTTTGTGTAAAGAGGGCGGGAAGTTTGAACTGCCAGTCTTCGGGAAATGATGTTATTCTGGATAGGGCGACAGAGTTTTGCTTTGCAATAGTCCACCAACGTACCCTTAAACTTTTAAAGAGTTATATATGACAAATTGATTTTCTGTCCAATTTATTACTTGGAATTTATATATAATACATATATGTATATAAGTCTAAAGATTTGCACAACGGTACTAATATAAGATGGTAATATACGAAGATGATGTTATAAAATCGTGTTGACAAATATTTCGGCTTAACAAATAGCCTTCGTCAGTGTCAATAATTTTAACAATACTAATTGTATGTGTAAAAAATAGCTCAATAATACAGGTAAGTTTTGGTCTATTTATTTAATCCCAAATCTTGAACATCATAATATAAAACAAAACTCGATACTCAATAGACGTGACTGTATATATGTACATCCCAAAATGAGTGTAAAATAAAACTGCTAGTATTTCTTATTGATGCCGTTTGGATGATGTACATTTAGTTCCTTTATCAAAAAGCTTTCCCGAACCTGTCGCTGGGCATCACTCTAGTGAATGTTCTGTTCAGTCACTAGGATTTTCATGCGGTTAAAGTCATCAAGTTTATGACTCGACTGTCTGAAATGCTGACTAACTGGGAGAAGTGGCTTCTTAGATATATAACTCCTATGACCGTTGAGGCGTTTGTAGAATGGCTGCTTTGACTCATCAACATATTGAAGGCCACAAACCGAACATTCTAGAATGTAAATAACATTCATACTTTTGCGGGTTACATTGCAAAATATCCTATAGTTATTTTCGGTTGCCTTACTGTGAAAAGTTGATGAGTGATGCATCTGTAGGCAGCATTTGGAGAAATGGGTGGTAAGTAAGAACGCATGGAGTCCTTCAGTCGTTTTTTAGTTGTTTCTGTGTTGGAACATATTCACTTTACATATATGTATATATATATAAAAGTCTAAAGATTTGCGCAACGGTACTAATATAACTTGGATGGTAATATACGAAGATGATGTTATAAAATCGTGTTGACAAATATTTCGGCTTAACAAGGCCTTCGTCAGTGTCAATAATTTTTACAATACTAGTTGTTATACTATATATATATGTGTGTATGTGTGTCGTAGCCTTATTTTTTTTTAGATTGTCAGTGTCCAAACAAACATTGACTGGTGTGAAGAATGACGACCAGTCTTTCTAATTTTTCGCTGATTATGTCATGTACATGTATAAGGGTCTGGATGAGGTTTTACATGGTTTTAAGAATAAAGAATGATGGGCAAAAAGTGCAGAATAATGGACAAACGTATATAGAAAAATAGGCACTTAAAAATGAATAATAAAGAATAATAGGTCGCTAAAATATGAAGAATCGGGAATAATGAACAAAATAGATAAAGAATAGAGAAAAATGGTATAAAAAATAAAGAATAAAGAAATGAGGGACCTCCATCCAGACCCTCATGTACAGTGTTATATACGGTCCAATTCACCACAGTAAAGACTTCCCCATACGTCTCCAATTTAATTAGCTATATTCGAATGAATTCCTGACAGGATTTCTATTCTTATACTACAGTTATATAGGTTTCTCTATATTTGACACATAACGCGAAGTGCTGATTCGCTAATCAAATAGACTCTTGAAAAACTTAAGTTTGATAACAGGGAAATGTTTCTTTTTAAACCGTTATCAAAGCTTTTGCAAAATGCAGAATTATATTATTTGGCAACATTATGTTATGATTGGTTCATTATACTGCTTGTCCATCAGACTTTGTATTTGTAGTTTATATTTGTTTTTAAATGTTAATCAGTTATGTTTTGATTACGAAGATGTGAGAAAATAAACTTTCAGGCGACTTTGACTTAAGATCTTAGACACATGTTAGATACTGCTACTTTTCATTTCAAGTGCAAACACGACCAACGTTGGCCCATCATGCATGTTGGTTTTTTTTTTACGCTGGCACAACGTACGGTAAAATTCAAAATATGTTATAGGACCAACATTGATATTGGTCGACTAGAATGTCAAAACTCTGCCTACGGTAGGCTTTAATTACGTTTGCTTAAATTCAACATGACACTAACTGTCTTTTTTTAAAACTAAAACAGTTGTGTAAAAAGTTTCTGCCATTTGTTTTCTTCCAATTTCTTTCTTTAAGTGTCATTCGTTAGATGTGCTATACAAATGTGGTATCCTGTTTTGCAAATTTTTCACGAAGTTCTTTCTAGTTACTTTATAATCTGTAAAATAAATATACAATTTTAATATTTAAATACATGCAGCTTACTAAAAGAATGCCAGGAGCCTGTAGTTCAGTGGTTGTCGTTGGTTCATGTCTGTCATATTTGTTTTTCGTAAATTGTTTTGTTATAGAGTAGGCCGTTATATAGTTTTCTCGATTGAATTGTTTAATATTTTTCATGTCAGCCCTTTTATAGTCGACTATACGGTATGGGGTTTTCTCATTGTTGAAGGCCGTAATGTTGCTTATACCTGCATACACCCACTTCATTCGAACTTTGGTGGATAGTTACATATCCTTATTTTTATAAAATTACGGAATTAAATTTGTACAGACTAACAACAGCATGAGATAGAATCTATTGCAGCATATATAAACAATATGAACGTTTTTTTTTTTCTGAAAATTAATTTCGGCAACAAGTTTAAATAATTAAACTTTTCGTGAAATATTTGTGTGTGTATCTCTTGGTTCACTCACGAGTGTAAATTATGTATTTTATTTTAAATTTTAAAAGTGTTTATACTGATAGTTGAATATTTTATATATGAAAAATAAGAATAGAGGGGCAGCACATACAAACTACTGTGACTGCTGTTGTAAGATCGTATGAATAGGATCAAGAAAACACCAGTGAAATGAACATAAGCAGAAATTGGAAGCATTTTGTTTTCTAATACAAAAAAAAGGAAGATAAAAGTCTTAACGCTGGGGAACAAATAAAAAAGGTCCATGACTCAAACGACCGTTGTTTCATTTATGGACGAAAAAGTCCGTAGGATAAAAGCCGGGTTTTTATATAAAGCGCTTCTGGCAAAAGCAAGATAACAGATACACCAAGGTTCAGACAATACGTCAAAAATAAAAAAAAATAAAGTCAGTTATTAATACTTGAGACGTTCTGGATTCGGAGAACGAGCTGTGTGCTCCTGCAAAAGAAGCTAGAATTTATTCGAAAGTTAACTATTTGGTCTAAATACTCATATGATCCGGTCCGTTGATAACCTAACGAGTATATTACCTACAGTATATATATATAGTCTGGCTGAAGACGTATGGTCGGACAATATATTTTAAAATTTTAAAATACTTTTGCTTTTATAGCAGATGACATCATTTTATAAGCAGAGTCTGTTGAATATTTACAACTTTAATATGTTTGATAATTTTTCACAGTATTGTTTACTGTGGAAACTTAAAGTAAATGTAGATGTAACTAAAGTTTTGATTTTTTTTATAAGGCAGGATGTAAAAAAAATATCGATTTTATTTGAATAATAAAGAACTAGAAATAGTTAAAGATTATAAATATCTTGGTTTATTTTTTTTGTAAAAGTGGACCATTCCTATCTGCAAGAAGGTACAGTACCTAAAAGAACAAGCAACTAAAGCTGTGTATAAACTATTTAATAATTTAATAAATGTAGAAGAAATAACTTATCTATTGAATGTCAAATTGATTTGTTTAAAAAATTAGTGATACCTGTAATATTATATATATGGATTAGAAATTTGGGGTTTTGAAAATTTAGATGTTCTTGAAAGTACACTGTTGCGATTTTGTAAAATATTGCATTTGAAGCAATCAACACCCAACTAATCTATTGTATATGTTGAGCTATATTTTATATCCTATATCACTACAAATAAAGATACGTATGATAAATGTTTGATGTAGGATGGTTAGAGGAAATGAAACAAAAATAAATTGTTACATGTTTACTACACAGATTACGGTTATGAATCTAAGTGGTTAAAATTTATAAAGAATATTTTAGAGGATTGTGGTATGTGTATTTGACAGAACCAAACTGATTTTGCGTCAAAATGGATTTCTTAATGTGTTGAATA